CATCCTCCAGGAACTCGGCAGGCAATGGGCTAGGTTAAGATAAAGTAGTGGACCCATAGGATGCTCATAGATGAAGTAGACAACAAGCTAAAAGGCACAGAGGGGTGTCCTCATCACTCACACACAGTACACAGATACACACGCACACTACTTACCCCACACATAGCACACTCCACACCGTACACACACACATCACACTAACAGTTAGTGATCACACAGCACACACACACACACACACACACACAGCAGTGTGAGACGCAGATACACACATTAAATAAAATTAAGGGAACCACTCTCAGTAGTTTCTTACTTTGAAACTGCTGGCTGTGGCTGGTGGGCAGGACCGCCATCAGGGGATGAACAACTGACTGCACCGGGGCCAGCAATGCTTGGATGGAAGGCCCATCGGGTGACGCCCAAGCATTTAGGAGCCACTCAATGGCTCGACCTCCTCATATCTTATTGTAGCCGACCCCTAGAAACACGAGAGTCGAGAAGGGCAGCCACTTCGAACACGTCACTAGAGACAGTACGAGGGGAAACAAGCCGTCCGAGGGGACGAGAAAACCGGTTACACAGCAAGGGCTTCAAAAGCGAAACGTGAAACGTGTGCGGAATTCGCATGGAAGGAGGCAAGTCCAGGGAGTAGGAAACGGGGTTAATCCTACGTAACACTTTGTAGGGACCAAGAAACCTGGGAGCAAACTTCATCGAGGGGACCCTGAGACGGAGGTTCTTGGAGGACAACCACACCCTATCACCCGGAGCATAAGAAGGGGTTGCACCCCTATGGCGATCAGCAAACTCCTTCTGAGCAGCTGCTGAACGAGACAGCGCAATATGGACCTGATCCCACGTCTTCCGTAAAGAGGCGAGGTGCTGGTCCAAGGCGGGCATTCCCTTGTCAGAGAACGCACCGGGAAGGACAGAAGGCCGAAACCCATAAGCAACCTCAAAAGGACTTAAGCCAGTAGACGAATGAGACACCGTATTTCTGGCAAATTCAGCCCACGGAAGAAGGCGAGACCAGTCATCCTGGTGCGCATTAGTGAAGCAGCGCAAATACAATTCCACAGACTGATTAGCACGTTCGGCTGCACCATTAGATTGCGGGTGATAGGAGGAAGTGAACGACAAGGAGACCCCCATCTCAGCACAAAGGCCCCTCCAAAACCGAGAGACAAATTGCGGGCCCCTGTCAGAAACAATATCCTGAGGTACCCCATGCAATCGGAACACTTCCTTGGTAAACACCTGGGCAAGCTGAATCGCAGAGGGTAGTTTCTTAAGTGGAATAAAGTGGGCCATTTTAGAGAACCTATCCGTCACAGTTAATATCACCGTCTGACCATCAGAAGGAGGAAGGTCTACAATAAAATCCATGGACAAGTGGGTCCATGGTTTCTTGGGTACAGATAGAGGCATCAGTAGGCCTTGGGGTCTCATTAGGAGACTTACACTGCGTACAGACCCGACAAGCCTGAACAAAATCCACTACGTCTCGCTTGAGTGAAGGCCACCAGAACTGTTGAAGGAGGCTCTTATAAGTCTTGGTAACCCCCGGATGACCAGCAGTTTTGGCGGTGTGAAACAATGTTAACAACTTTTTTCTGTCACTTACTTTCACGTATAGTTTACCAACAGGCATCTCCTGAGGCGCTTGGGTTTGGTATGTCTTAATATTCTCAAGGAAGGGAGATGAAACAACCAAACGGGTAGCAGCTATGATCTGAGAAGCTGGTACAATAGGTTCAGGGGTTGGGTTAACAAATCCTAAAGGTTCATACTGTCGAGAGATAGCGTCAGCTTTGGCATTACGGCAACCAGGTCTATAGGTAATAATGTATTGGAATCGCGAAAGGAATAGAGACCATCTAGCCTGTCGGGCGGACAACCTTCTAGCATCGGTTATATAGGAGAGGTTCTTATGATCTGTCAGAACCATAATTTTGTGTCTAGAACCCTCTAATAAGTACCTCCATTCCTTAAAAGCTAACACAATAGCTAATAGTTCTCTGTTCCCAACATCGTAATTCTTTTCTGGATCAGACAACCTTTTAGAAAAGAAACAACAGGGATGGAGGGGTTCGTCATACGATAACTTTTGTGATAGTACTGCTCCCACCCCCGATTCAGAAGCATCTACTTCCATAACAAAGGGAAGAGAAGGATTAGGGTGGTGTAGTACTGGAGCAGAGGCAAATGCTTTCTTGAGAGTTTCAAAGGCTTTAAGGGCTTCAGGAGTCCAAACCCTAGGGTGTAGGCCTTTTTTAGTCAGCTTTGTGATAGGAGAGATAAGTGGTGAGAAGTTTTTTATAAATTTTCTATAATAGTTAGCAAAACCTATAAAACGCTGGATAGCCTTAAGTCCTTGGGGAAGTGGCCAGGACAGTATAGCTTCCAATTTAGCAGGATCCATACTAAAACCCTGTTCAGAAATTATATATCCCAGGAATTGCACAGAGGTCTGATCGAACAGACATTTTTCTAACTTACAATAAAGTCCGCTCTGTAATAATTTTTTAAGCACCATCCTAACATGTTTATGATGTGACTTCAAATCAGGAGAATATACAAGTATGTCGTCAAGGTACACCACGGCACAGACATGCAATAGATCCCTAAGGACATCGTTTATGAGATCCTGAAACACAGCAGGAGCGTTACACAGTCCAAAAGGCATGACCAGGTATTCATAATGCCCACTACGCGTATTGAACGCTGTCTTCCACTCATCATTCTCCTTTATACAGATAAGGTTATAAGCTCCCCTGAGGTCTAGTTTAGTAAAGTACTTAGAACCTTTAACGCGGTCAAACAACTCAGTGATGAGGGGGATAGGGTAGGCGTTTTTAACCGTTATATTGTTCAGACCCCTGTAGTCTATACACGGCCTCAAATCGCCCTCCTTCTTTGCCACAAAAAAGAAACCAGCACCAGCAGGAGAGGAGGACCTTCTAATAAAACCTTTCCTTAAGGATTCTCGTATGTACTCCTCCATGACCTGGTTTTCTTTCTCAGAAAGAGGGTAGACCTTACCCCTAGGGGGCATAGTGCCCGGTAAAAGGTTTATGGCACAGTCATAGTCACGATGTGGAGGTAGCTTATCTGCCTCCCTCTTTTCAAAAACCAATGCAAGATCAGCATATACAGAAGGGACAGAAACAGAGAGTGGTTTAGCCGTGGGTACGTTGAGTAAACAAACAGGACGTACCTGAGCCATACAGTCTCGTTGACAGGATTCCCCCCAGGATAGTATATCCAAGCAACCCCAATCGAGAACAGGGTTGTGTTTCACCAACCAGGGAAAACCCAGAACGATGGAAGCAGTAGGGGAGTCAATTATTTGGAAGGTTAACCTTTCCTTATGCAAAACACCTACAGACATCACTATTTCTTGGGTCTCATGGGTCACCAGAGGTTTCTCAAGTGGTCTACCATCTATGGCCTCAACGACCAAGGGTGTGGCCTTTTGGATCAAAGTTAAGGCTGCGGTTTTAGCAAAGTTCTCTTCCATAAGGTTGTCTGCCGCACCTGAATCGATCAAGGCTTTGGTGGTTATGGTGGTTTTATTGACCAAAAGAGAAACCGTAATAAACGGTCTGGAGATGGACACATGAGGGGACAAAGTCATAACACCCGAGGCCGACCCCTCTCTAGGCCTTAGGTGCTGTAGTTTCCCTGTAACTTAGGGCAGGCATTACAGTGGTGCCCCCTCTTTCCACAATAAAGGCATAACCCTTCCCTTCTACGATACGCTCTTTCAGCCTCAGTTAGCCCCGTAGCACCCAATTGCATGGGTTCGGGGGTTGGTTGACTAGGAGCGGGTAGTGCTAGTAAAGCAGTAGAGGGGGGAGCAGGTAATGCCCGTGTATCCATCCGTCTTTGACTACGCCTCTCTCTAATACGGTTATCAATAAGAATGACATAATCTATGACATCATCTAGGAGAACAGGCAATTCCCTGGATGCTATTTCATCCAGTATGTAGGCGGCCAAACCCTCCTGAAAGGCTGTTACGAGGGCATCATTATTCCAAACCACTTCAGCTGCTAGCGTGCGGAATTCGATAGTATAATCCGCTACAGATCTATTACCCTGTCGTACCCTAAGCAGAGCTTTGCCAGCAGAGGCAACCCTACCGGGTTGATCAAACGTACGTTTGAAAGCTGTCAAGAACTCTAAAAAGGACATGGGAGATGTATTCTCCCACATGGGGTTTCAGCACCCACAGACATACAGCACCCACAGACATACAGCACCCACAGACACTCAGCACCCACACACACACAGCACCCACACACATACAGCACCCACACACATACAGCACACATACACAGCACCCACAGATATACACAGCACCCAAACACATACAGCACCCACAGACATACACAGCACCCACCGACATACACAGCACCCACAGACATACAGCACCCACAGACATACACAGCACCCACACACATACGACATACACAGCACCCACACACATACAGCGCCCACACACATACAGCACCCACAGACATACAGCACCCACAGACATACACTGCACCCACACACATACAGCACCCACAGACACACACAGCACCCACAGACACACACAGCACCCACACACATACAGCACCCACAGACATACACAGCACCAGCACACATACAGCACCCACACACACATACAGCACCCTCACAAACACACACAGCACCCTCACACACAGCACACAAACAGCACCCTCACACACACACAGCACACTAACGGTACCCTCACAAACACAAACAGGACCCTAACAAACACACACAGCACACTACCAGTACCCTCACACACAAACAGCACCCTCACATACAGTACATTAACAGCACCCTCACCAGCGCACACACACACAAACAGCACCCTCACACACAGTACATTAACAGCATCCTCACAAGCACACACACACAAACACCCTCACCCACATAGCACACTACCAGCACCGTCACACACACATCACACTAACAGCACCCTCACACAGCACACACACACACACACAGCAGTGTGTGTATGTGTGTATATATTTGTATGTATATATATATATATATATATACACATATATATATATACATAAATACATATATATGCGGCGTGTGCTTGTGCTTTAGGGTGCACACCCTAATGCAATAGGCTGCGCACGCCTATGCTTATGACTTGTGCACTGCTGACCCCTCCTTCTAGTCTGGTGCTTGTTATGAGTCAAAGTTCAGACTAGGAATCCCTGTGTGAGTGCATTGACTCTATAACTGGGCACCAAAAACATGAGACAGTAATTATAATAGTCTGCACCAGACACAGGTGCATACCATGTACTCCACCTATGGGTCACCAATAATTCAATTTTTATTTATTATATTGTTGATATTGTTTTATTTATTATATTGTTGATATTGTTGATCTTGTAATATATTGAAGAAAAAAAAAAAGTTAAACAAAGAGAACAAAATGCTAGAGCAGGCATAGGCAACCTTCGGCACTGCAGATGTTTTGGACTACACCTCCCATGATGCTTTGCCAGCATTATGGGCGTAAGTAGTCCACAACATCTAGAGAGCCGAAGGTTGCCTACCCCTGTGCCAGAGAGACGGGGCATTACAATGACATAAGGGAGATAGAGTAACAAAGGGTTAGGGGACAGAGAGTAACAGGGAATTATGGGGTAAAGTGATACAGGGCTAGGGGTGTAGAGTGACAAGGTGATAGCAGGATTAGGTATTAGGGGGACAGAGTGACACAGGACTAGGGGAGCAAGGTATTAGGAGGACAAATTAGCACAGGGCTATGAGGACAGGGGATCAGGGGACAGAGTGACACAGGGCTAGTGGGACAAAGTGATACATGTGTAGGTAAGCAGTGTATTAGGAGGACAGAGTGACACAGGGTTTATTGGGCAGGAGATTAGGTGAAAGAGTGACACAGGGCTAGGACACAGTGACCCATGGCTAGAGGGCAGGGGGACAGTGACAGAGCTACGGCGGCAGGGGATTAGGGAGGCAAAGAGACATAGTAATAGGGGGTAGTGATTAGGGGAACAGAGTGACACAGGGCTGTGGGCAGGGGATTAGGGGGACAGTGACACAGGGCTATGGGGGCAGAGGATAATGGGGACAGAGTGACACAGTAAT